GCCCCTAGAGGACAGAGTGGAACTGCACCACAGGGTCTCCCAGGCTGTCAATCTTCACAGAAGGAAAGCCCAAACCACACCCACTGCCTGGAGTCCATTCTGACCCACAGCGCCCCTAGAGGACAGAGTGGAAGTGCCCCAGAGGGTTTGTAAGGTTGTCAACTTCACAGAAGCAGACTGCCTCATCTTTCTCCACGGAGTAGCTGGTGGGGCTGAACTGCTGACCTTTTGGTTAGCAGTTGAGTACTTTACCCGCTGCACCACCAGGGCTGCACCTACCAAGCCCTAAACCAAAACCCAAACCAGTTGCCAAGGAGTCAATTCTGATTCACAGTGAACCCATGCAAGTCGGAGTGGAACTGCCCACACAGGCTTCTCAGCCATTGATGTGCAGAAGTGGACGGCAGGCTCTCTTCCCAGCACCTCTGGTGACTCAACCCCCGCTTTTGTCGGTCAACAGCCGAACCAGGCTCTCTTCCCAGCACCTCTGGGTGACTCAGTGCCCCCGCCCGTGGGTCAGCAGGAATGCATTCCCCACATGCACCACTGAGGACCCTGGTTGAAAGGGTGGCCGTGTTCTGCATCAATCTGAGAGGCTGGTGCCATCACACTCCACGTGTCCTGTGGTGCGTGGCACCCAGGATGCTGGGTCACCACACCTCAAGTGTATGTCACCTCGGTTCCCCCCACTTACCAGATCTGTCCCACGTTGACCAGGGACATGTAGAGGACCCAGAGGGTGGCCATGAGGACCATGTTGGCACAGCCAGCTATCAGGATGAAAGACGAGATGGCCAAGCCGGCCAGGGCCAGGAAGTCCAGGTTGGCATCCATGTCCGTCCAGTCCAGGAACCAGAGGACGGTGGGTGCGTAGCTCAGGGCACCCCAGCCGACCCGCCCCCCAACGTGCCGCTGGACGCTCTTCAGGTACAGCCTGCTCGGAAGTAGCCCCCGGTCACCAATCAGCTGCTTGTTCTGGTGGAAAGCCACCAGGAACGCCACCCCTGCAGGAGACAGAGCACAGGGGGTCACAGAGGGCCTTACGAGGCATACAAGCACCTGGGGACCAAGGAGCATGTTCCAGGTGGGCAGGGACCGCATTGGGTGAGGAGAGGAAGCAAAGGGTCTAGCCAACTGCAAATTCCAGGACTGTAGGTTGTCCCTCAAAATCTTGGGAAAATATTGGTGATGCCAACCCGGGAAGAGGAGCCCTGGTGTGCAGTGGTTGAGGCATTCAGCTGCTAACCAAAAGGTTGCCAGTTTGAACCCAGCTAACCACTCCATGAGAAAAAGACAAGGCAGTTAGCTTCCATAAAGATTGACAGCCTTGGAGACCCCGTGGGCAGTTCCACTCTGTCCTCTAGGGGCGCTGTGGGTCAGATTGGACTCCAGGCAGTGGGTGTGGTTTGGGCTTTGCTTCTGTGAAGATTGACAGCCTTTGGGACCCTGGGGCAGTTCCACTCTGTCCTCTAGGGGCGCTGTGGGTCCACCCCACGGCAGTGGGTGTGGTTTTTATGCCGAGGGAAGAGTCCTTGAGTGGAGCTGAAAAAAGGTTGGCAGTTCACACCCACCAGAGGTTCCTGGGAAGTCACACCTGTCAGTCTTGAAAGCTGCATAGAAGCAGTTGTAGTCTGCACACGTGGGGCTTCCGGGAGTTGGAGTCAACCCGCGGGTTTGGGCTTGGGGTTTCTGTGAGCATGGCAGTGGTGATGGAGGACTAAGCAGCCCATGCCCCATGCCTGCCTTGTGAGTGCTAACCCAGACCAACGTCTGAGCGTCTCAGACACAGCCGGAAGTGGGGCCTCCAGGAGCAGGCCGGCAGCCCAGATGGCCTGGGGCACGTGGGCATTCCTCCTCCTGGACAGTTCTAGGGGGTGCTGGGCCAGGCGCCTCGGGCGTTTCATACCCGCGGCACCTGCTTCCCTTCTACGTGCACGGAGACGGCAGGAGGCAGCCTCCGTGGGAAGACCGGGCCCCGCGGGTCTGAAGTCCCCACGGTGTTGCTGGGCGCTTGAGAGGCTGACCGCGTTGTGGGAGAGCTCAGGCACCTGCTAGCACAGCCTTTGCTGCAAGACTGTGGAATTGCCGATACAGGCTTTCAACTCCGTCTCTCTTTTTTTTTTCTTAAGTTATTATAAAAATAGTTCCTAGCAGTGTGGCTTATCTTCCAAAGTATTAAGTAGTCATTCTGGAAGCTCAAGCTGTCACTTAGCAATCGATGAAGTCAAGATCAAGTTCAGGTTTCAGACTTTAATAGACCTTTCAAAGGGGCCTGGAACAGCGCAGAAGCCCCAGTGGCTTTGCTTGCCGGGAGCCCAGCTTTGTGAAAACAGCTCCCGAGCTCTTTTGTGGAGCCGGGGCTGCCTTTGATCCCCGCGGGGATTCTCCACTTGGTTCAGAAGGAACCGAGGTTAAGCCACCAGGTCAGGCAGGTACTGCTAGCCTGCTGCGGAAGAGTGAATGGTTTGCTGGGACACAAGTGTTTTCCCCATCTTGTGGGTTTGTATGTTTGAGGCAGAATTTTTGTTTTTGCCATATGAAGGAATCAGTGTCTGGATCTTCAAGTGATGTGAGTCTCTGGCAAGTGGGCAGTCGTCCTGTACTTATCTCCTAAAACCCACTGCCGTGGAGTTGATTCTGACCCACAGCGCCCCTAGAGGACAGAGTGGGACTGCCCACAAGGTCTCCAAGACTGTCAATCTTCACAGAAGCAAAGCCCAAACCACACCCACTGCCTGGAGTCCATTCTGACCCACAGCGCCCCTAGAGGACAGAGT